ATTAAACACACAAGTAATTTAGATATATCTGAAAATTGTATCTATGTCTCTGTGGATAAGCAGACTTGGTCCACCTATAGCTGAGATCCCGAGCGTCTGTTCTAAATTTTCTCTCCATGAACAATGGGGAAATCACAGGTTGATTCAAACCCCAGAGAAACACCTGCAGGACATATGGGATATGTCTCTCTGTTTCCTGCAGGAGAAAACCCATATATCTGACTAGATTTAATGTTGAGCTTTTATACGGCTAACATTAGACAATGCTGACCTTAACTAACTGCACCATGTAGACAGATAGGAGCAAGGCTAAAATCGGTAGAAAATCGATCTTGATTAACATATCCTCTTGTTTCAGTTTATAAATATATATAATCAGCAGTTTATAAATCCCTTGTCCTGATCGAATCATCTTTCTCATGCAGCCTAAACCTTTTAGATCCCAATCACCGTGTGGAGGAAGAAAAGCTCATGGTTTTCATGAATCAATGCTGAGAAATACCCTTGTCATTTCAAAATTCCTGTTCAAGAGAAAAGATTGCAAACCTAAACACTTAGTGTTGCTCTGCACAAATATGTACCTTAGAGGTGACACACAACAGAACTGCCAGTTTTTGTAGCTAGCGTTAGCCACGGGAGTCTGCTTACATGACTCTCATCCCACCCTAGAAAAGCTGCCAACAATAAGCACAGACAGCTTCGTGCTTGTTCTAAGCCTCCAGGTAGGTAAAAGCGTCACTTCCATGGAAACCCAAAGCCAGATATGACTTTGAGGAATTGTTTCTCAGCACACAGGATTTGCTAAACAGGACAAAGAGCAGCAGCTCAAAGCCAGGTGATGTCCTGAGCCAGATGGACAGCATTCTTAGCAACGACATTCAAAGGAGGGGAGAGAATTTTGCTGAGACAACTCAAGTTTCACTTGAGACCAATACTTACAGCCTTGGCTTGCCTTTATAGCTCATGATGCACAAATCATATCTGAATATCCACTGAACAGGTGCAGAACTGAGTCCCTCACCCTCCTGGCAGCCAGGGAGTGACGTGGTCCAGTCTCTCCCTCTCTGTATCTCTGGCTCACTGCATATGATATGCTGTGGGTCCATCAGAAGAACACGCAGAAGCAGCCCTGGACATGTCCTGGATCCCTAACATCATCTGATCACTTTAAAAGCTCATCAAAGCTGTCTCCAAAGTTAGTCTGTACTTCCCACATCAATCCCCACTGCAATGTTCCTCCAGGTTCTACTGTGACTGCATGAGGCTTTGAGCAACCTGGGCTAGTGGGAGGTGTCCCTGCCCATGGCAGGGGGGGGGACTCGATGATTTTTTAGGTCCCT